AGAAATTTGAAATTCTGGGAAAATGAGCTTCTCACCTTCCTCTTTACATGCAAAAAGTTTTAAAATTTTCCCTTCACTAGTTTTCCAGGAAAACTTTGAAATATTTGAGACTGTATTTTCAACTAATTCAGTTTTTGTAGGTTGATTTCCAATATTTCTTATGTTGTTATTTTCCACTAGAAGAATTTAAAATTTTAGAAATATGAGCTTCTCACTTTCCTCTTTACATGTAAAAAGTTTTAAAATTTTCCCTGCACTAGTTTTCCAGGAAAACTTTTAAATGTGCGAGACTGTATTTTCAATTACTTAATTCAGTTATTGTAGGTTGAATCCCAAGATTCCTCATGTTGTGATTTTCTACTGGAAAAATTTGAAATTATGGGAAAATGAGCTTCTCACCTTCCTCTTTACATGCAAAAAGTTTTAAAATTTTCCCTTTACTAGTTTTCCAGGAAAACTTTGAAATATTTGAGACTGTATTTTCATGTAATTCAGTTATTGTAGGTTGATTTCCGAGATTCCTCATGTTGTAATTTTCTATTGGAAAAATTTGAAATTGTGGGAAAATGAGCTTCGCGCCTTCCTCTTTACATGCAAAAAGTTTCAAAATTTTCCCTTCACTAGTTTTCCAGGAAAACTTTGAAATATTTGAGACTGTATTTTCAACTAATTCAGTTTTTGTAGGTTGATTTCCAATATTTCTTATGTTGTTATTTGCCACTAGAAAAATTTGAAATTTTAGAAATATGACCTTCTCACCTTCCTCTTCACATGTAAAAAGTTTCAAAATTTTCCCTTCACTAGTTTTCCAGGAAAACTTCGAAATGTGTGAGACTGTATTTTCAATTAATTCAGGTATTGTAGGTTGATTTCCAAGATTCCTCATGTAATTTTTTAATGCAAAAATTTGAAATTCTGGGAAAATGAGCTTCTCACCTTCCTCTTTACATACAAAAAGTTTCAAAATTTTCCCTTCTCTAGTTTTCCAGGAAAACTTTGAAATATGTGAGATTGTATTTTCAATTAATTCAGTTATTGTAGGTTGATTTCCAAGATTCCTCATGTTGTAATTTTCTACTGGAAAAAATTGAAATTATGGGAAAATGAGCTTCTCACCTTCCTCTTTACATGCATAAAGTTTTAAAATTTTCCCTTCACTAGCTTTCCAGGAAAACTTTGAAATGTGCGAGACTGTATTTTTAACTAATTCAGTTTTTGTAGGTTGATTTGCAAGATTTTTCATGTTGCTGATTTCCACTTGTAAGAGACATTTGTAGGAAATTTTAGAGGAATTTGTGAGAATTTGAAGGAATTCGCAGGGAATTTAGAGGAATTTGTGGGGTATTTAGAGAAGTTCATGGTGGGGTATTTGGAGGAATTTGTGATGGGGTATCTGGAGGAATTTGCAGGAATTATGCGTAAAAAATTCCCCTTTAAGGAATTGTTTGCACCAATTCTGGGATGGTGGTTTACCCCTTGAGAAAGATGGTGAACATATACGTCATACAACAACTGACCACTCGATGCCAAATCCAATTAATGTTAGGGAACTGAAAACATTTTTCGGTTCAATGCTACATATTTATAGAAAAACTCAATGTTATAGCATTTAGGTATAGGAAATAAAATCTGCTTCTCCATGTTCACTGATTGTCTACGTTCAGTGACATGTTTTTGTCACACCTATTGAAAACGTGTAAGTAGATCACTGGCCAGAAAAATCGCTTACCCATTGTTTATGTCTATTTTTATTACCGTTCAAATACAGATGTTGTTTAATTTGTCTAAGTCCACAATCTTATCATTCTCCAATCAAGGATACACGCGCTCCAAATAAATGAGGCGACTGTTGCTAACAGACATTTAGGAGGCACACTATGAAATAGTTTTTCTAGAAATTCCATTGCGGTTTTCGAGAATTTTGCTTGTTGACTTTGTTTATTTATATTGCATCGTGTTATATCATACATTTGAGTTTCATTAAGATATCGAGGTACTCTATGTCCTTGGAATGTAATTTTCCAGTGTATCTGCGAGTGCGTAATCTCCAGACTTTGGTCAAACTTTAAGTGTTCTCTTTCAAGGTATACATTCCATACCTACAAATTCATGATTGAGACAACTACAGAACAACACTTTGACTTCTGGTTGGGTTTCTTTCGTGCGTAATGCGGAACTTACATAGTTCCTAATACTACGGATGCCTAGAGAAAGGCAAATATTCTCAGGAATAAGAATTACATATTTAAATTATGGCCCATTTTCTTTATTACTTCACTGGATGTTGATGCAACATTCTAATGCTAACAATAAAACATTTTTAGAATCTATGAGTTATTAAGTCGAGGGATTAGATAAGAAGTCATTGACTGTTTATAACATAACGAGTCCGACCCAAATAAAGCAAAATGATAAGCGAATAGCCACTTATCATTGTTATAATAAAATGTGTAATTATTTTCCAAGGATTCATCATCATTGTCTGTTGCTAGGAAGCTTCCTGATGTACTTTTGCATTTTAATCTCGAATTTTCAATGCATTACAACACAAAATCATTTAATTTATTTTAAAAAAATTACGTCATATGAGTAATGAATGTAATTAGTTTAAATAAATTAATACCTATTATTGCTCGAGAGAGCGCCATTTAACAAGCCAACAACATGTTCCTGTTGTTATCATTTTGTTTATTTCAAACCTAGCAAGCGTGTGTAATAAAAACCTACGCACCTTAAAAAAAAATATTCAAAGATTACGTTATTTGCAGAGCTAGGTTGCCGTATCTTACTTTGTTTGATAAGGAACTGGGAATAATATTTGCCCAAACAAATTTGAACTTATAATATATTGTCCAAATATTTATACACGAATCTGGAAGGCCTTGAACAAATATATGGGCTGAAATTTATTTAAATTTTTGATTTTTATTACACGCTCGTGCAAGAATTGTCTCGTTTCCCCATAGGCCCGCCTACACCGTACCAATCTTCACCTTGTTGTCTCGAAAACAGTGTAAATTCTCAATTGTTAATAATTTTGAGAGGTTTGAAAGTTGTTTACGGTTTAACTTTACGATGTTGCCAGAGAACTATTCATTTACAATTTTGTTTGTTATTTTTTCTTGAAAATCATTTCGCTAATTTAAACTCTCTAACTTGAACTTACAAACGTTAATTCCAGAAATCTCTAAAGTAAAGTTCGTAAATATTGTCGCACCGGTCGTGCACAGTGACGTCGGTCTTTCCGAATCAATGTAATTTCGTGAACACTATCATTACCATTAGGGTTGGCAAAAACCCGGGGTTTTTGAAAATTGTATATTTTTCATCTTTTCCACCTGAGAAGCAACATTGAAAATTTTCCAAAAATGACACTGAGCTTTTGCCTCACCAGCTCCGTTAATTTCCATCCAATTTCAATGTAATTCAGTTGCAATTGAAGCCAATTAAATTCTCTACAAACCTATTGATTAGGATTTTACTTTGGTTCCAACAGTTTTGTATCTGAGAAGCTTCAAAATTGAAACTATGGAACATTGAAAATTTTCCAAAAATGACATTGAGACAGTTTTTGCCGAGGGGGGTACCCTTTTTTAAAATTTTTATTTTTGGATTTTTCTCAATTTTAACTTCAGAAATCGATTGAGCGAGTCAGAAACAACTCTCACATCAGTTAGATGTGAGAATTTCAACAGGAAAAAAAATCCAATTGGAAATCTCAATTTTTGGTTTTAGAAATGTTTTGAAATCTTGACACTCTCATGAATAACTGCTCAAATCTTCGATGACATTCAAGCAAATTGACTATAATCATATATCATTCGAAAGAGCATAAAATTCTCTTCAAAACTGTGCCAAATTGTTTCCAGTAGCTCAACGGGTTCCTGAGCAATCCAGCTTCAAAGTAGGACCTTAGTCAAAATTTTGTCCAAAACTTCAAACTTGATTTACTCAAAAACTATAAATACTAGCAATTTCAGCTTAACAGCATCTGAAAGCCCTTATCAAGAGCTACAAACTCTGAAAATTTTGTTCAAGTACCGTTTTCGGTTCCCGAGATATCGAGCTTTGAAGATTTGAAAATAAAAATCCAAAGAGGGTACCCTTGGGAAAAAGTGCAAAAAATTGAAAATTTTTATTTTTGTATTTTTCTGAATTTTGACTTCAGAAATCGATAGAGCGAGTTCAAATTAGTCAGAAACAATTCTTAGATCAGTTAGATTTGGCAATTATAATGAGAGAAAAAATCCTAAAGGAAATCTCAATTTTTGTCTCTGGACATTTTTTGAAATCTTGACACGGTCATGAATAATTGCCCATATCTACATTTGAGCAAACTAACTACAATTATATATCATTGAAAAGAGCATTAAATTCTCTTCAAATCTGCACCATATTGGTTCCAGTACCTCAACGGGTTCATGAGCAATAGAACTTCAAAGTTGGACTTTAGTCAAAATTTTGTCCAAAACTTCAAACTGGATTTTCTCAAAAACTATAAATACTAGCGATTTCAGCTAAATATCAAAAGCCCTTATCAAGAGCTACAAACCCTGAAAAATTTGTTCCAGTACCGCTTTCGGTTCTCTAGATATCAAGGTTTGAAGATTTGAAAATAAAAATCCACGGTTTTTGGCCTCACAGCTCCGTTAATTTTCATCCGATTTTAATGTAATTAAGCTCTATTTAACGCCAATTAAATTCTCTACAAGCCTATTAATTGAGATTTTGATTTATTATGGTTTGGTATCTTCCACATGCCACTTTTACCAAATTAAAAGTTTCTTGAAATAAACTCGGATAATGGATGTCCGAAATTGCAGTTTTGCTATCCGAAACAGTGCTCTTAGTAATTACTATTTACATGTAAATCTTGACAAAACTGGCCTTTTATTACAGTAGCTATGTAGAATGTTTTCTTGCCATAAAGTGTTTTTGTCCTTTTTGCACACCGGAAATCATCCATTTGCCAAAATAATATAACTTTCTTTCTTTTTCAGACTCACACCCTCTTTGTGGACGCCTTTCTCCAGAACAACCGGCTGGACCATGTCTCTCAGGTCATGGGCTACCATCCCTCCTATCTGGAGAAGTTTCTCCAAACTCAAAATTTCATTCTTAGAGGCGACGGGCCCTTACCTTTCGACTATCGACACTTCATTGCCATCATGGTAAGGATTTTGACTTTTCATTCGGGAAAAAACCCAAATAAAATTGAGAATATATTTTTAATTAATGAAATCCTCGAAAAACAAATAATGCTCAGTCAGGTACTTGAAATAATTCGTCTCTTAACGTTATTAGGATGTAAACAGTTGAAGGGGTAATACAACAGATAGCGATAAAAGACACTTATAGTGCTATTATTGTCTGCTCCTAATATTTTATCTATATATTTTCGATATTGAACTTCGATCCAGACTGTTTTGTGGCCCTTCTATACCTAAATGGAGCTCCAACAGCATTAAATAAGTTTCACAAATGACATTATATTTTAAACTATGCTTTCCTTGAAAAAAAAAACATTACAGTAATATCAAATGGGACCCTCTGGGGGAGATATTTCCATCAGGCAGTTTCAGGCTTTTTGGTTTCGTCAGATAAAATTCCTCTTAATGTGATGTACGAATTCACAACAAACATTCAAATTAAATAAAATCCCGTTATAGATTTTGATTGCCTAAAAACTCGGCTATAAAAAACTCCTCATAAAATGGAAGATATACGACAAGAAAGATCAAATTTTGAACATATATACGACCAGGCAACAGTATAGAAACAACTGAGCCCATTAAAATAAAACTTTAATGCAAACCAGCGAGATACCATATCACTTAAAGTTTGCACAGTCTAAACAATTTATTCAGGCCTTTTGAAAATATATTACATATTTGGAAAAGTAAAATGGTATACATTTGATATCAATATAAACGGCCGATCCTTAAATCATCTGGCCTTAAGCAGTTGCAACTTAAAAATAGAAAAAGTACAAAGGAAAGTTGAAGAACTGGATGATGGATCAACATAAATAGGATTAAAAATGAAATAATGGGAGTAGGGTTGAGTGGGATTTTGTTGATGATCAAGCAGCCTATGAACTCGAACTGCCAAGAGATGCTTTTTATCTATTCCCTCTAGTCTAGGCTAGGCTGTAAGAATTTAAACAAAATTCAACGAGAGCAATATGCATAACGTTATACTATACTGTGGGTGCGCAATTTGATACATTCTACTTACTTACAAGTCTCATCACAACTTTCGACTAAAGTTCAAATTTGAGACACAATTGCTCAGCAAGTAGGTATATGAGCTATCAGAATTAATTCAGCACTGACTTATTGAGAACTTACTGCGTTTTCCAAGAATATATAATTTATAATTTGTTCAAATTTCAATGATAATCTACCAAGGGGCAAACCACCTAGGAATTCTTTACCAAAAATGTGGGGAATTTATAAGGAATTTGGAGGAACTCATCGGAATTTATGAGAATTTGGGAACTTATAAGGAATTCGGAGAAATTTATGGGGAATTTCAAGAAATTTGTGAGGAATTTATGAGGAATTTAAAGGAAATTGTATAGTCATCACATTCTTATTATAAGAAACACTAATAAATGGAAATTTAAAAAAAAAAATCTTGTTTTGTGTTGGACATTCATTTTCATTAAAGAAATTCTCCCAAAATTACACTACATGATTTACAGGTCCAAATTTAAAAAATTCAAAAGAAAAATATTTTTGTAGGCTGATTTCCAAGATTCTTCATGTTGTTATTTTCCACTGGAAAAATTTGAAATTTTGGGAAAATGAGCTTCTAACCTTCCTCTTCACATGTAAAAAGTTTCGAATTTTTCCGTTCACTAGTTTTCCAGGAAAACTTCGAAATGTGTGAGAGTGTATTTTCAATGAATTCAGCTATTGTAGGTTGATTTCCAATATTCCTCATGTTGTTATTTTCTACTGGAAAAATTTGAAATTTTGGGAAAATGAACCTTTAACCTTTCTTTCATATGTATAAAGTTTCAAATTTTTCCTTCCACTAGTTTTCCAGGAAAAGTTTGAAATGTGTGAGACGGTATTTTCAACTAATTCAGTTTTTGTAAATAATTGATTTCCAAGATTCTTCATGTTGTTATTTTCCACTGGAAAAATTTGAAATTTTGGGAAAATGAGCTTCTCACCTTCCTCTTCACATGCAAAAAGTTTCAAAATTTTCCCTTTACTAGTCTTCAAGGAAAACTTTGAAATGTGTGAGACTGCATTTTTAATTAATTCAGTTATTGTAGTTTGACTTCCAATATTCCTCACGTTGTTATTTTCTACTGGGAAAATGAGCCTTTAACCTTGCTTCTCTTCACAGGCAAAAAGTTTCAAATTGCCTTCAGTAGTTTTCCAGGAAAATTTTAAAATGTGTGAGACTGCATTTTCAATTAATTCAGTTATTTGGAGGTTGATTCCCAAAATTCTTCATGTTTTTATTTTCCACTGGAAAAATTTGAAATTTTGAGAAAATGAGCCTCTGACCTTCCTTTGCACATGTAAAGAGTTTCAAAATTTTCCCTTAATTAGTTTTCCAGGGAAACTTTGAATTGCGTGAGACTGTTTTAACAATTATTTCAGTTATTGTAGGTTGATTTCCAAGATTCTTCATGTTGTTATTTTCCACTGGAAAAATTTGAAATTTTGGGAAAATGAGCCTCTGACCTTCCTCTTCACATGTAAAAAACTTAAAAATTTTCCCTTAATTAGTTTTCCAGGAAAACTTTGAATTGTGTGAGACTGTATCAACAATTATTTCTGTTTTTGTAAGTTGATTTCCAAGATTGTTCATGTTGTTATTTTCCACTAAAAAAATTTGAAATTTTGGGAAGATGAATAACTTCTCCCCTTTCTTTTAACATGCAAAAAGTTTCAAAATTTTCCCTTCACACATTTTCCAGGAAAACTTTGAAATGTGTGAGATAGGATTTTCAACTTATTCAGTTTTTGTAGGTTGATTTCCAAGATTCTTCATGTTATTATTTTCCACTGGAAAAATTTGAAATTTTGGGAAAATGAGCCTCTGACCTTACTCTTCACACGTAAAAAGTTCCAAAATTTTCCCTTTATTAGTTTTCCAGGAAAAGTTTGAATTGCGTGAGACTGTTTTAACAATTATTTCAGTTATTGTAGGTTGATTTCCAAGATTCTTCATGTTGTTATTTTCCACTGGAAAAATTTCAAATTTTGGGAAAATGAGCCTTTGACCTTCCTCGTCACATGTAAAAAACTTAAAAATTTTCTCTTAATTAGTTTTCCAGGAAAACTTTGAATTGTGTGAGACTGTATCAACAATTATTTCTGTTTTTGTAAGTTGATTTCCAAGATTGTTCATGTTGTTATTTTCCACTAGAAAAATTTGAAATTTTGGGAACATGAACTTCTCCCTTTCCTTTTACCATGCAAAAAGTTTCAAAATTTTCCCTTCACACATTTTCCTGGAAAACTTTGAAATGTGTGAGATAGTATTTTCAACTTACCTATTCAGTTTTTGTAGGTTGATTTCCAAGATTCTTCATGTTATTATTTTCCACTGGAAAAATTTGAAATTTTGGGAAAATGAGCCTCTGACCTTCCTCTTCACACGTAAAAAGTTTCAAAATTTTCCCTTAATTAGTTTTCCAGGAAAACTTTGAATTGCGTGAGACTGTTTTAACAATTATTTCAGTTATTGTAGGTTGATTTCCAAGATTCTTCATGTTGTTATTTTCCACTGGAAAAATTTGAAATTTTGGGAAAATGAGCCTCTGACCTTCCTCTTCACATGTAAAAAACTTAAAAATTTTCCCTTAATTAGTTTTCCGGGAAAACTTTGAATTGTGTGAGACTGTATCAACAATTATTTCTGTTTTTGTAAGTTGATTTCCAAGATTGTTCATGTTGTTATTTTCCACTAAAAAAATTTGAAATTTTAGGAAGATGATTAACTTCTCCCCTTCCTTTTAACATGCAAAAAGTTTCAAAATTTTCCCTTCACACATTTTCCAGGAAAACTTTGAAATGTGTGAGATAGGATTTTCAACTTATTCCGTTTTTTGTAGGTTGATTTCCAAGATTCTTCATGTTATTATTTTCCACTGGAAAAATTTGAAATTTTGGGAAAATGAGCCTCTGACCTTACTCTTCACACGTAAAAAGTTTCAAAATTTTCCCTTAATTAGTTTTCCAGGAAAACTTTGAATTGCGTGAGACTGTTTTAACAATTATTTCAGTTATTGTAGGTTGATTTCCAAGATTCTTCAGGTTGTTATTTTCCACTGGAAAAATTTGAAATTTTGGGAAAATGAGCCTTCGACCTTCCTCTTCACATGTAAAAAACTTAAAAATTTTCTCTTAATTAGTTTTCCAGGAAAACTTTGAATTGTGTGAGACTGTATCAACAATTATTTTTGTTTTTGTAAGTTGATTTCCAAGATTGTTCATGTTGTTATTTTCCACTACAAAAATTTGAAATTTTGGGAAAATGAGCTTCTCCTCTTCCTCTTAACATGCAAAAAGTTTCAAAATTTTCCCTTCTATAGTTTTCCAGGAAAACTTTGAATTGTGTGAGACAGTATTTTTAATTAGTTCAATTATTGTAGGTCATTGATTTTCAAGATTCTTCATGTTGTTATTTTCCACTGGAAAAATTTGAAATTATAGGAAAATGAGCCTCTCACCTTCCTTTTTACATGCAAAAACTTTCTTAAATTTCTCTTCACTAGTTTTCCAGGAAAACTTTGAAATGTGTGAGACTATATTTTCAATTTCAACTAATTCAGTTTTTGTAGGTTGATTTCCAAGATTCTTCATGTTGCTGTTTTCCACTGGAAAAATGTGAAATTTTGGGAAAAAGAGCTTTCAAATTTTTCCTTTCACTAGTTTTCCAGGAAAAATTTGAAATGTGTGAGACTGTATTTTCAATTAATTCAGTTATTGTAGGTTGATTTTCAAGATTCCTAATCCTCGCATGTTGTTATTTTCTTTTGTTTGTGGGGTTTTTGGAGGAATTTGAGATGGGGTATCTGGAGGAATTTGTGGGTAATTTGCAGGAATTTTGAGGAGTTATGCGTAAAAAATTCCGCTCGGAGGAATTGTTTGCACAAATTCTGGGATGGTGGTTTACCCCTTGCAATCTACGATCTCGAAAATTGACAAATACTAAAAAATAAAAAAAAAATGGGTTTTGAGTCATTTTTTTAAGGTTACCCCCTTTGAATTCTAATTTCAAAATCTTTAAACCTGTATATTTCGGAATCCGTTTCGAATATTGAATCAAAATTTCTAGGAATTGTAGCTCTTATCAAGCTCTAAAAAACCTGTTTAATACAATATTCCTACGTTCATAGTTATTGAGAAAATTGAGTTTGAAATTTCGACTAAAACTCAGCTTTGAGGCTTGATTGGTCAAAAAGTATATGAGTTATCAGAACAAATTTAGCATTGATTTATAGAGAATTTAATGGGCTTTCCAATGATATATAAATTATGTCAATTTGTGTAAATTTCAATGAAATTGTTCATAACCATTCGTTTTTGTTTTCTCTTTAAAATTGCCATTTGAAAATGATGATAGGGTTTTTGGGTCGTTTTTTAAGGGAATTTTAATTCTAATTTCAGCTGTATTTGTAGTTGTCTAATAAGAATCTCAAATGTTAATTCTCGATCTTCAAATTCTAACTTTTTTCAGGCGGCAGGACGTCACCAATGCAGCTATCTGATAGCCCTACAAAAGCAAGAGTTCCTTCTTCAAGGAGGCGACCAAAACTGGCTTAGAGGCCTCAAATGTATCCCTCAAAAATTGAGAAACTTGTATGATATTAATAAAATCTTGGCGCATAGGCCTTGGTTGTTAAAGACTTCTCATATTGAGGTAAAAACACGTTACATGCGCAAATGTTTTTCATTATTAAAATCCCTTTATAGAAACTAACCAAATGTGGAAAAGACTCCTGGTCGCTGGCCGAAGTAGTGCACGCCATAGTGATACTGACTCATTTCCATTCGTTGTGCTCTTTCGTCTTTTCCTGCGGCGTCAATCAGGAACTGGATCAGGCCGGAGGGTACGAGTATCCTGGCGGACAAAGTTCTTCGAGTGGAGGCGCATCGGCAGCAAGCAGTAAAGCTGGAAGCAAGAGCAAGCAGGAGGAAGCAGTAGTGGATGGCAGACACGGTAAGAACTTGATCGTTTCAACCCAGATTGAAACAATATTTCAAGCTACTATCTTATTAGTAGTGGCTTGAAATTTATCTATATTTGGAATCTCTATATACTTATACATTCATTCTGGTCAAGATGTTTTGTCCAAATATGATTCACGTTCAAAGGTAACAGTTTCTAGTAATACAAAGTAAAATGTTCAAGCTAAGAAGTAGGATGGATTTTTGTTGGAGTAAATTTTGTGGAGGTGAAATAAATCTCAATGTTTCGACGCTTTTCTCCTGAACTTTCTGTTTCCATTTCTCAATTTTTTTTGAGCTTCCTCTATTATTTTTTGTCTATTCCTGGCACTTGAATTTCTGTTTTATTCAAATTTCTCTATGTAAACGAAATTCAAAAATCTGGGATAGAGAAAATACTTATAAGTAATTCTACTTGTTGACCTATTTTTGATCTATTTACCGTTCTCATTTTTGACCATGACTAATTTTAAAAGATTATGCACTCAATTTTTTCATTCCATTTCTGTTTTTATCAAATTTTCTACCTCAGTCTTTTCATCTTTCCATTTCTAAGTTTTTAATAATTTTTCTTTGTTACTTTTTTCGGCTCAATTTTCATCTATTTCCGGCTCTTGAGTCTTGAATCTTTGTTTTCTACAAATGAAAAGAATTCAAGAGCCTAGAGAAAATATCTTCATGTTCTCGACCAAATTTTTCTCAATTTGTTCTTTCCATTTTTCAGTTTTCATCAATTTTTCTTCCTCAGTTTTTTCATCTTTCGGTTTCTAAGTTTTTAATAATTTTCCTCATCACTTTTTTCATCTGAATCTTGATGTGTTATCGGCTCCTGAATCTTTGTTTTCTACAAATTTTTCCAAATAAAGAGAATTCAAGAGCCTGGAATAGAGAAAATATTTTGATATTTTCGACCAATTTTTTCTCAATTTGTTCCTTCCATTTCTCAGTTTTCATCAATTTTTCTCCGTCAGTTTTTTCATCTTTCGGTTTCTAAGTTTTTAATAATTTTCTTTATCAGTTTTTTCATCTGAATCTTGATGTGTTATCGGCTCCTGAATCTTTGTTTTCTACAAATTTTTCCAAGTAAAGAGAATTCAAGAGCCTGGAATAAAGAAAATATTTTGATATTTTCGACCAATTTTTTCTCAATTTGTTCCTTGCATTTCTCAGTTTTCATCAATTTTTCTCCCTCAGTTTTTTCGTCTTTCCGTTCCTAAGTTTTTAATAATTTTCTTTATCGGTTTTTTCATCTGAATTTTGATGTGTTATCGGCTCCTGAATCTTTGTTTTCTACAAATTTTTCCAAATAAAAAGAAATCAAGAGCCTGGAATAGAGAAAATATTTTGATATTTTCGACCAATTTTTTCCCAATTTGTTCCTTGCATTTCTCAGTTTTCATCAATTTTTCTCCCTCAGTTTTTTCATCTTTTGGTTTCTAAGTTTTTAATAATTTTCCTCATCACTTTTTTCATCTGAATCTTGATGTGTTATCGGCTCCTGAATCTATGTTTTTTACAAATTTTTCCAAATAAAGAGAATTCAAGAGCCTGGAATAGAGAAAATATTTTGATATTTTCGACCAATTTTTTCTCAATTTGTTCCTTCCATTTCTCAGTTTTCATCAATTTTTCTCCGTCAGTTTTTTCATCTTTCCGTTTCTAAGTTTTTAATAATTTTCTTTATCAGTTTTTTCATCTGAATCTTGATGTGTTATCGGCTCCTGAATCTATGTTTCTTACAAATTTTTCCAAATAAAGAGAATTCAAGAGCCTGGAATAGAGAAAATATTTTGATATTCTCGACCAATTTTTTCTCAATTGGTTCCTTCCATTTTTCAGTTTTCATCAATTTTTCCCTCCCAGTTTTTTTCATCTTTCAGCATCTAAGTTTTTAATAATTTTCCTTATCACTTTTGTCACAGTTAAAAAAAAAAAACTACAAGAAAAATAGGAACATAACAAGATGTGTTGGTGTAACAAAGAAGTCGTTTTGTGTTGTAGATAATAATTGAAGTGGTAGAAGAGCATTCAAGCATTCAAATAACAAAATAAATACTTGAGAAATGTGTTCTGGAACTGCCAATGTAGTATAAAAGAATGAAAGCTGATATTTTTTCTTTGTATGATTGTAGAAAATTGGTCGGATCCCGTCGGTCCTTGTCCACCTTCGCCTACCGAACCCGAAGTGGGCATCACCACCCTCATGCAGCGCATGAAGACACTCTCAGAACAAACGGAAGAGTGCACTCCTGTCGAATTAGCGAAACGTTTTGAAAACATTGAGGTAAGAACAATGTGGCTTATGAACTATAAATACCAAATCATAAAATCAATTATTTAGGTTCAATCCGCTGAGCTTGGCGTTGTGGGACCGGAACCGCAAGAAACTCCGGCCGATATCAGCTACTTTGTGGACGATCCCAGTTTTCAATATCAGGATTTCGCCAAGAGGGCCGAGAGCGATATTCACACGTTTAGAGTTCAAGATTATTCTTGGGACGATCATGGATATTCTACGGTTAACAGGTTAGAAGCGTTTTGTCTAAATATTTATTTTTATTTCCAAGGTAGATGTGATAAAAATAGGATTGTTAGCTCATTAGTGGTATGGTGGTAATTGCAGAAACATCAAAAGGAAACCGAATTGTGCTTTGTAATCTTTTCATAGGAATGATTATTTGAGAACAGAAGGTGGTAGAAACTGATAAGCTTGTCTTATAGATTTTCTTTTTAAGCTACAGATTATAGAAGTTCTATTATTAAACCACTGGATTCCTCAGAATGTTTCTTCTAGGCAAGTTAAAGCATCGTTTCCTGTCCACTGTTGCCTCTAAAGTTGTGATTGTAATAGGCCTGGATATAGACTTACAGAGTTTAGTAGTCACAAAGTATTTTATGTCCGATTGACCAATAAAGTGCTATTTATAGAACAGTTTTGCGTCAATAAAGTAGCACTTTATTGTACTAGTAAAATAAAGTGCTACTTTATTTTACTAGTAAAATAAAGTGCTACTTTATTGCCTACCTGGACAACCTAACAAGGTGAAACAGGTCCTGACAACTTGCCAAGGTGAAACAGGTCCTGACAACCTGCCAAGGTGAAACAGATATACCTACGCGAATTTTACTTTTTTCATTGAATTTTTTTAATTTTTAACAAAAATCAGTCGCAATCGTACATAAAATCATGTATATAACGCTTACATAAACAGGCTTTATTGACTCATTATTTAATAGCCTCGCTGCTCGCTCGGCCATAAAATTATTCGTACAATAAAGCCTTACTTTATGTACTTGTTATATAAATAGCTATTATAGTTCTAAATCAGATCACTTCTAAGTCTTCTTTCCTTAAGCCTAATGAGGCCAAACCTCTGGTGTCAATTGGATATGAGCTCAGGGTAATCCTGGTCACTCTAGAACTTCAATTTCGTGCAGGAAATATGAGTTCTAACCTGACTGGGCTGAGTGAAATAATTATTGGATTTCAATTTTAGATTGTTACAGATTCTAACCATTTTACAGTCCATTCTGCGATTTGTTTCCATCACTCCAGGTAGACAAGGCATACTCTCCACATAAGCCCTCATAGTACGATTTTCATCAGTAAGTCGAAAGTAGCAAGGGCGTTATAAAGTCCAAAAGGCATTATCATAAAGTTTTACCAAATCCTGATTCAATAGAAAGCTCTCAAGACATGGGAACGTCAGGGATCGTCTAAAGGCCTGTTCGCACAGAAATCAGAAACCAGTCAGAGTGAATTCCATTGGTTGAAACTAGTCTAACTGTTCTCAACCAATGAAATTCGCTCTTTCTGGTTTGTGATTTCTGTGGTGCGAACAGTCCTTAATTGGGGGTAGCCTAAAGCGGGAGTCTCATGCATCCGTTTTCCGACGAAAGATGTCCGAAAAACCTTCTATTCTGATATATTTTTATTCGATTACCTATGTCAGAATAGAAGGACATCTTTCGTCGGAAAACGGATGCATGAGACTCCCCTAAGGGCCGTTTGCACCAACTGTTCAAGAAAAAGCCTTAAGGATAAGTATTCTGATGCATATTTATATATTTTTAATCAGAATTAAATGCTCTTCAAGATCATAGGTGCCGGAATTTCAAAATTACTATGGGGGCTCGGGCTCCAAAAATTACCAGAAGTAGAATTAATTATACAGACAGGACTCGACTACTACACATATAGGCTTGAATGGGACCAGTGGACAGATAACAATTTCACTGCAGGATCGCCATACTGGATCATTGATCGTCCATGCATATTAATAAAATTCGTACATTTCCGGCAGTTCGGCTATATTCGGTTTCGGCAGCACCATTGGAGTAGTCAGGATTTTGTCTTGAGGAGATGGGGAAATTATTAGGGAGAAATCCTTGAAGCTCCGCCGCAGGCGCAAAATTTTGATCTTTTTACGGTATTTTTGGGACTTCGAATGGTGGGGGCAAGCGTGGATGAGGCCATTTTCACAAATTTTGATAAGAATTTATAGTAGAACGTTACTTTTACTATAATATCATAAATATCAAGGCAAAAACATATATTTTGAAAAAAAAAAATCAAAAAAACGAGAAAAAAAAAATAAACTGAACCAATTTAGGAGTTATTTGGGATCCCCTTAGACCGCCATGACAAAAAAGTTCAAAACAGTCTTTATTTTTATTTTTTTAAATTTCAAAAGATCCTAGCGAAAAAACGAAGAGCCTGGGAGCAAAACCTCAAATACAAAACTTGTAGATCTCACTGAGAACTACAAAAAAGCTCATCAAAGTTACTCCTCCAGGAGGCAACGTTTTTGAGAAAATCGACTTCAAAACTTTCAATACATTTTCAGAGAAAATTCAACTTCGACGGCTTATATTTCGGAGACAGAAACAACCTGGAATATCATTAAAAAACAGTTTTGTAGGTAATTTACTGCTATTTCGAAGGAAACCTGATTCGAGACAATCGGTTCAAAATTACCGAAGTTATAGGCGAAAAAGTGGCGCCGTGTCGGGTCCTCAAAATTTTCCTGGATCAAAATCTTTTAAATTTTTTTTTCGGGCTTACGAAGCGTCGGAGCGAAAAATACCAAGAGACATTTTCGACGTATTTTTGACTCCTCTATCCGGTAGTATTTTTTATTTTTCAAAATTCGGAAAAGTAAATGCAGGGCGTGTATGCACCATTACACGATCTTTTCGAAAATTGAGGGGATAGGGGCTAAAACCCCCCCGGTAGGTCAGAGAGGGCTGAAATTTGGAATATCAACTTTTCTGGACCCCTTTGACCTATATTTCAAATTTCATCCGTGTTGGGTCGCCAAAATTTTCCTGGATCAAAATCTTTTTTATTTTTTTTTTCGGGCTTACGAAGCATCAGAGCGAAAAACACCAAGAGACATTTTCGACGTATTTTTGGATCCTCTATCCGGTAGTATTTTTTATTTTCCAAAATTCGGAAAAGTAAATGCAGGGCGTGTATGCACCATTACACGCTCTTTTCGAAAATTGAGGGGATAGGGGCTAAAACCCCTCCGGTAGGTCAGAGAGGGCTGAAACTTGGAATATCAACTTTTTTGGACCCCTTTCAGCTATATTCCGGATTTCATCCGAATCGGCCAAAAAAAAAAAATTAGTGGCCCCCAGGGGGCTTTGCTTTTGAGATAGGGGCCCCCCGTATATTTTTTTCGATAAAACTCGTACTCCATTGTCTCCATTAGATTCGTACCATATTTCAGGTCGATAGGACCATCGGTTCGCCCTCAGCAAATTTTTGAAATTTTTTCCATGATAAACTAGGTACAAAAAGCCAGTGTATTGGTACATCATGATATATTCATGTGATGTAAACATAGCAAACATGGAAAGGAAATAATAATCCAATGACTTATTGAAAATATAGGTTTAAATACTACACAACAAAATAATCAAACTGTTATATATATATATATATATATATATATATATATATAATATATATATATATATACATAGTGATATAATACCTATATCACTATGAGGGCTTCGCCCCCGTAAAAAATTTACTATGGGGGCTCAAGCCCCCATTGCCCCCATGGTTCCGGCGCCTATGTTTAAGATAAAACAAAATTCAATCATTTATCTCAAATAGTTTTAGAGATGTTAAGCCTCAAAGTTGAAACTTTGTCTCAAATTTTGGAAAACCTTCAAAGCCGATTATCTCGGAAACGGAGCCCTAAGGGTCGGTGCCCCAAATAACCTTTTTCGAAACCCTAATCGAGATTTACATCTGGACAAAATTTCATGCTGATAGCTTTTTTGGATCCCAGAATATCGCCCTTTGAAATATTTGAAAATGAAATTTCCTTGCATACCCCCCTTAGAAAAATTTCAATTTTGATTTTTCTAAATTTTTTAATATTTGACTCCTCCAATCGGAACAGGGGGTCAAATTTAGTGGAAAAGCATCTTCGTGATTTTTATTTTAGAGGTTTTAGGCACTGTAAAAATTTGAAATGATTTTTGCCCTGAAAAATTTTGATCATCCGACATTGCCTCACAAAATCGTTCATAACTCAATCAATATTCTAAAAATTCCGATGCATATTGAAATTTTTCTGATCAGAATTAAATGCTCTTTAAAATAAAACAAAATTGAATCATTTATCTCATGTAGTTTTAGATATGTTGAACCTCAAAGTTAAAAATTTGTCTTAAAGCCGATTATATTAGAAACGGAGCCCTAGAGCTCGGTGCCCCAAATAACTGTAACACTAGATAAGAAATCACCAAAAGCTATTGCTGTTTCGCGTTGGTTCTTGATTATTGTGTGCTCAGGCTCAGAGGTTTTGAGGGTAATGGTAGTTACCACCAAAATTCAAAAAGAGGGTTCCTTTGATACAAGAACTGCAGTGCAACTGTTTGTAGTTGGTCCTAGCAGAGTTTATTTTATTTTCTAGAAGATTGAAAAATTACTCTATTTCTGTGTTTATTTCATTTCTACCTTGGAAGTAAATGTGTACACTTTATTTTGTCTCAAAAACGTATAATCCAACATTGTATTTTTGTCCTTAGACTGTTCAACGACGTAGGCACCCTGCTAGACTCCAAATTTCGTACCGCCTACAATCTAACCTATTACACAATGGGTGGTAGAACGGACGTGGACACTTCCAGATTCCGTAGGGCAATTTGGAACTACATCCAGGCCCTTTTGGGAATCAGACACGACGACTACGACTACGGAGAGATCAACGCCCTGGTAGAAAAGTCTCTGAAGAGTTTCATGAAAACCGCTTGCTGTTATCCGGAGAGGGTGACCAAGAAAGTCTACGACAGAGTGATGAGGGAGTTCAAGCACAGCGAAAAGGTCCACGTAAATTTGATGGTACTGGAATCGCGTATGCAAGCCGAACTGATTTATGCGCTGCGTACCGTGAACCGTTACATGACAATGTAATTATTTTTTTTTTTGTATTGCAAACCCGTTGAGTACTATTTACTATTAATGTTTTTTATTATTAATAATTGTGTCTACTTGGGAAACAATCTCAAAAATATTTGCTTATATGGATTTTATGGGGAAATGGGCGATTTTTTTGAAATCATTTAGAGCAAGAACTATTTTGATGAAACGGTATAACTTGTGAGATTAGATGTTCTGAATTGAATCGTCTAAAAATCATAAATTCCATTAACATATCTTTCATATGCTCGAAAAAAGCGATCATACGTTTTCTATTATCAAATATTTTCGAGATGAGATTTTTTTTTGTTACTTATAGGTAGGTAGTTTTTTTTTTATTTGCAAAATAAAATGTTATTATATACATATTATATATGACCACACTGTATATAATTTAACAAAACAAATTGAAAAATCTATATATTGTGTAATAATAATAATTGAAAATTGGCGATTTTGACAATGATATTTCAATTTAAAGGCAACTAAAATTTTGGACAATAATTAACTTTATTAAAGGCTGGATCAAAATAACCCACATACATTTTTCAGCCAATTATCAACATTGATATACTGTAAGACCATTTGAAAATAAATAAGAAACAAAATTAGACATTAACCACTCATGGAGAAAAGAAGGAATTATCATTGTCAATACACGCCAAAATTATTATATTAGTGTAAATATAATTTAAAAATACCCTATCAGGGCCGCACTTCGTTTTTCGTGCCCACAAATATTTATAAGACAAAAGTGTGCGCATTTTGAAGGTGGCCCCCTCGGTACACAATAATTATTAAAAACACTTTGTATATAAAATTAATTGTCTTTATCAATTATATTATTAATCTTTTTTTTTTATGGTTAATTAAGTTCTGGAACATGCCGAAAACTAATTATTGTAATATTGATCTGGAAAAGGAAAATTTAATTGTATAATTATTATATGAAAAAAAAGTACACAAGAACAAGAAGGCTGAAACTATAGGAGAAAAAATATATATAATGTGTGCAGGGTGTCAAAAAAAAAATTACGTTTTCGATACTCTGTATGACCAAACGCCATTTTTCTTTTTAAATGTAAGTTTATGGAAAAAAAGTACAAAATTTCTCTTTTAAATAAGAATATTTCAACATATTGGCAAAACTCGTTGTAGGTATATCCATCCATCTTTTTAGGTCACATTTCTATTGTTACAAATACAATATTTGTAACAAGAGGAATCAATTTTTTCAAGAATTAAAATAAAAAGTTTTCAGTGTATTGATACGCTATAATGAAATCTGTGCAACGTTGCTAGGCCACTATAACAACGAAAAATCAATCGTATTTCCATTAACGCAACGTTGCCAGTTGAGGGTGGGAAGGGGCTTGAACAACAAGGAGGGCGTGGCTTAAGATGGACCACGACCCACATTTGTGATATTTATATTATCAATATGTGATCATGATTATAGTTTTTTTAGATTTTGTTTTTTTTTTTGATAATTTGAGTTGGTAAGAGCGCTTTTGCGTTTTTCTTAAGAAAAATCAAAATCGCTTTTATTAGCCAGTTAAAATACATTTGCGCAAGATCGAAAAAATACCTAGGAAGAAAGGGGAAAAAGAAGAGAATATTGTGTAGTTATTATTGATTATTATTACTATTGACTTTTTTTGATGTTTTTAACCGTTAGACTGCTAGTGAGACGTTATTATTATTGTAAAACAAAATAATTACACTATAATGCTAAATGGAGAAAGTGTGAAAATAAATATAGTTTTCGAAATTTATCATTTTTGTTTGTTTTCATTGTTTTTATTAGCATTTTCAGAAAAAAATTGCACTCACAACTTCTCGACCCAGTAAAACCTTTTACTGTAGATATTTTAGATTTCGATGGGGTAGTTTTAGTGGAAAAGGCCAATGAGTCAATGAAAAGCGTTTAATGTCTATTTACACAAAGCGAACAGAGTTTCGAATTACTTTACATTTCAATACTAATATTTTGGTTTGAATCACATTATAAGAAATTAGAATAAATTATTGGATTGTGGCGTTGGTTCGGAGCAGAGCGTTCTGGACTCTTATGAGTGCCGTGACTCGACTTCTAATTGACTGGTTACTGACTGGTTCTTGATGGCCTGTTCAACTACTTCGCTTAGCTTGCGCAATCGCCAGAGCAGCATAGAGGTCGCTGTTTTCGCTGGCGACAGGAGCGTTGCACAAGGGGTGGCAATTTTAGGCACCACAGCTACTCCCCTTCCAATGACCTTCGACGAACTGGGAGAAGAGAATGAAAAGGAAACCTTCTTGGGGGCGCTTCTGGGCGATGGCACTGGCTGGCAGGGTACTATGTCCTGCTCTGGCTTGGCTCGGGTGCGTATTGTGTGGCCATGTACTCCCCAGGAATACGGTGGGAGGTACCAAAGACCATCTCGGCCGGTGAAACTTGGAGATCTTCCTTCCACATTCTTCATCTGGCAAGACTCCTTTTTTGCTAACCTTGAATCCCAAAATTTTTATTTCCTTTCTTAGATACTCGCATTTGCTTGGTTTGAGTGTTAGGTTTGCTTGTCGGAATCGTTCTAAGACCTCCCTTAGTTTGGCTATGTGTTCCTCTAGTGTTTTTGAAAAGATTATAATGTCGTCCAGGTATATCAGTAACTTCCTTCCATTTCATGTCCCAAAATACTTGGCCTGCAAGTTCCTGAAGCGTGGCTGGAGCATTGCATGGCCCAAAACTGAGAACGTTGAATTCATATGTACCATGTCCCTGTGCGACGAATGCTGTGTATTGTTTTGATCCTTCTTCTACAGGTACCTGCCAGTATCCCGAGAACATGTCCAGAGTGCTAAAGTATGCTGCGTCTCCCAAGTATGACAAAATATCGTCTATTTGTGGTAGTGGGCACGTTGATTTTTTCGTCACGGCATTTATTTTTCGGTAGTCTACACAAAATCTCGTTTTTCCATCCTTTTTCTTTACTAGAACCACCGAGTAGCCCACGGGGAGTGACAAGGTCTGATTACTTGGCTATCCAGCATCTCCTTGATTTGTTCATCGATTATTTGTCTTTCTTTCTGAGACACTCTATATGGACGACTTTTTATTGGTTGCGCTTCTCCTACTTCTATCTTATGTGCTGTTAGGTTTGTTCTTCCCATGTGTTTAGTTGATTTGGCGAAAACGTCATTATATTCTAACAGGAGATCCTGGAATGCCTGTTTGGCTCTTTTGTCTCTAATGTTCTCTAGTTTGTGGTCTTCTAGTGTTATTTCCTCGGTTTCATCTAATATTTCTTCTTGCGTTTCTAGGTGGTACAACGGGCTTTCGTTTTCCAACTCTTCCAAACATGCTATGGTGGTTCCTACGTATATGGTTGCTGGATTCCTTGTTTTTGACTGTATTTTCAGGACGAGGGAGTCCCCATCTGTGTAGATATGTGTTTTTAATACTAGGTGCTTTTTTGCGAGCCAGTTTAATTTGTATTTGCATTGGTAGCCTATTGTTTCTTTTATGTCATTCATTTTGCACATGATTTCTAATTCGATTGTTTCTATTTGGTTCTCGGCTATAGTGTAATCTCTCTTGGTTCCTATTTTAAGCGTTTTTCTTCGGGTGTCGGTGATTATCTGCATTAGCTGACCAATTTCCTCTTCGGAATTTTTTCCGGTCTTTTGTTGTTTTGCTGCCTGTTTTTGTATGCGGATTTCGATTCCTGAGTCTTTAAAAACATGATACAGCATTTGCTCAAATCTTCCCCATTCTTTTTCCAATCCCCATCCTTGTCTTGGGATGACCACTGCTGTGTGGGATCTAGATTTGCTAGTATTTTTCAGTGCTATCAGGCATCTGTACATGTTTCTTGGGGTAGGCTTTTTTTTCATCGGTTCTCTCGTGAATAGAAAAATTGTAGATTTTTTCCCGTAGTTTATCTCTTTCAATTGTCCAATGGTTCCTGGTTCTCTTTTCTTCAGGAGGCTGCGCCTGTATTTTCTGTATATGCACCTCTATGTTATGTAGTTCTGGGTTACTCCGAATACCAAAACCACGTTATTTGGTAGGTGATTTATGTCTCGATGTTCTTTCCTCAGGAATCTGCTTGTATCTGTCTTTCTTATGTGTATGCGGTCCTTGATAAACTTGTTGAATTCTTCTTCATCTTTTTGAGAGCAGCTAGGTTCCGTGCTCGAGTTTTTTGCGGTAATGAGGCTTGACAAGCTAATGTTCTGCTTATAGTCCTGATATAGTCGTATTCTATATTTATTATTCAATATAAGTAGTTTTCTTGGCAGGTCTAGGATGGCTCTATTCTCTCTCAAAAATTCCATTCCTAGGATCATCGGTTGCCCTGACACTGAGATGACTTTTGCATTGAGTATATCTTTCCACTTTAAGTTTCCTACAATTTCCATTGTTTATGTCATTTTTCCCAAAACTGGTATTCGATGTCCCCCTGCGGTGACTAATATCTTGTTATTGTCTGTCTGTATTTAACCTGTTACCAGTTGTGCTGGTATGACGTTATTTTCGGCTCCCGTGTCGACTATAGCAGACAGAGTCCTGTTATTTATTGTAACTGTGATGAATAAGATTCCTATTCTAGATGTATCCCCTCTAGGGCTAGGATGGCTGGGGTATCTATTTTTGCCATCCTTTTCCGTTTGGGTTCTGCTTTTGGCTTCTGCAGGTGGCTGCAAAGTGTCCCTATTTTCCACAATTGTAACATATTGGATTATTGCCATAATTTCGGGGACTATAGGCTCGATTTCTCTGTGGTTGGCTTCGGCACATCGCCGCAGCGTGTCCTATTTTTCCACAATTATCACATTTTTCGCTGCTTCTGTATTGCGTTGATTTATTCGGCTGTGGTCTGCTTCTGCATATGGCCGCCATATGCCCTTTTTTTTCACAATAATAACAAACCATTTGGTTTCTGTTATTTTGGAGTCCCTGACTGCCTTGATGATTCATACCTCTGTCTCTGGAAGTCTTCTTTTTCTATTTCTCTTACTTCTCTTTTTGGTGCTTTATCTATGGTCCCAGCAATTTCTTTCACTTTTTTTAGCGTGTCTGGTGGACCATTTGGCGGGTTCGTGAGCCAGTAATAGTGATAACAGTTTTCTTCAGTCAACCCTTTGCTGAAAATGATAACAAATTCTTCTATATCTATGTTATTCTTGTAGTCATGGTACAGTACTCTCAATTCATACAGGTAATTCCAGACTGTAATCTTCCCATTCGCTGTTTGGATTGTCTCTTTTATACTCTTGGAACCATTATACGTTATCTTCAATGTATCATTCCATCCGTTCTCTCGTAACTCCTTAGAAATTCAGCGGCACTTCTCCTGCAAGGGTGGAAAGTTGGCGGGTTTATGAATTGGGTTACCGATGCCTTTTTTCCTGCTGCCATTGCATCCTGAATGGTAATATTTGCCATGACTGTTTGGATGTTTTGATCTGATTCTTCTTCCTCTGCTGTTTCTTCGTCTGGTGTTTCTTTGTCTGCACACTTTTTGTTAGACGAATTTGCGTCTCCGCCTATGTTTTTTGGGGTAACCTGGTTTGCTTCTACTTCTTCTAGATTATCTCCAGTAGTATTGTCTCCGTGTTCTTCACTTGTATATTTTACGTAATTACTTATTTCCTGGTCCTGAAATTTCTGAGAAGTCTACTTTTTGCTTTGTTCTCAGCTGAAATATTTCGTCTGCAATGTGAGTGCAAGAGGCCAACAACAAGCCGTTAAAAATTGAGAAAAAGGGTTGATTTCCCGAGACGAGAACTCACTTATTTTGTAATATTTTTTGACCGGATTAGAAAATAATAAAAGATAAAAGTCTAAAGATTCATGCTGTTGTTTTAGTTTTTCGAAAAAAAAATTGCAAATTGAAAATATCACGACCTTAATACTCGAAAAAAAGCATCATTTCTATCGCTCGGTACATCCAAACCCATCGCTTATTTTAGAAAAATAAAACAAGAGCATTGTTCTAAATTTTATTATCTTTTCAAATCTTCTTGATTCACTAAAAAATATTAAGTAGTTTTTGAGATCTCGTCTCGAATTGTAAGCCCTGCAAACACGGAAATTCAAAAATTTTGGCTGCAGCGAAGTGCTGCCTCTGGCGGATTTAATTTCGCACCGGGGCAAGTAAAAATTACACGACGCGAGAGGACTGCAAGGCCAGTTATTAGTTTGTGTAAATAATTATGGTGAATATATTTCATAATGAACTCAAAACGAACAAAGATTACTTTACTAGAATTCAAGAAACGAAAGAGGATATCATATAGCATAGTTAAATACAGTTGGTACGTAAAGGTTGGGAATAAAATCCATCGAAAATACAGGGTTGATTTTTTTTCAAAAAATCTCGGATACGTCGATTTTTGATTCATGAAATTTTCTCTAAAATACAGTGTATCCACTTAAGTTCGCAGCATATGGGAAACTTTTTTATTATCAATTTTACGAAAAAAAGTTATCCTTTATAAGAGTTTCTGCTTCTTGAAAAAATAATATTAAACTATTAAAAGTTGAAAAAGCATGTACAGGGTGGCCCAAATTCGAGCCTCATCATTGGGATCTCGGAAACTGTAAGAGATACAGGGTCGGTTAAATTATGACAAAGTTGCGCAATTTAATGACCAATAGAATGCCGTTTTGAAATTAGAAAAATTCCGAACACTTCCGGAGATATTCGGAAAAAAACGAAATTTTGTGAAATCGTTTTTATTTTTTCCTGGGCTTATTTGAAGAGTAATTTTAAAATAAAGGTCACTTCATCAT